CCCCAAGGGATCAATTCTGGACCCTACACTGTTCAACATCTTCATAAATGATCTGGACGATGAGATTGAAAGCACTGTCACCATGTTTGCTGATGACACCAAACTGGATGATGAAGTGGACAAGTCAGAAGGGTGAGCCATCTTAGAGAGACATGGGCAGGCTGGAAGAGTGGGCTGGCAAGAACAGTACGAAGTTTAACAAAGACAAATGCAAAGTCCTGCACCTAGGACGGAATAACCAAAGAGCCCAGTACAGGCTAGGATCTGTGTGGTTGGGAAGCAGCCTTGCTGAAAGGGACCAGGGGGTCCTGGTGGGCAACAAGCTGAATGTGAGTCAGCAGTGGGCTGCTGCTGCAACAAAGGCAAATCAGATCCTTGGCTGCATCTGCAGGGGTGTTACTAGCTGAGATAAAGATGTGATCATCCCGCTCTACTCGGTGCTTGTCAGGCTGCACATGGAGCACTTGGTCCAGTTCTGGTCCCCATAATTCAAGAAAGATGTGGACAGACTGGAGAGGGTCCAAAGCGGGGACCATGAAGATGATCAAAGGGCTGGAGAGCCTGCCCTGTGAGGAAAGACTGAGGGAGTTCTGGCTCTTCTCCCTGGAGAAGAGAATGCTCAGGGGGAACCTCATCACAGGATTCTAGTACTTAAAGGGAGGCTACAAAGAGGATGGAGGCTCTCTCTTCACAAGGAGCCACTTGGGAAAAAACAAGGGGCAATGGATACAAGTTGCACTGGGGAGTTCTGGCTCTTCTCCCTGGAGAAGAGAATGCTCAGGGGGAACCTCATCACAGGATTCTAGTACTTAAAGGGAGGCTACAAAGAGGATGGAGGCTCTCTCTTCACAAGGAGCCACTTGGGAAAAAACAAGGGGCAATGGATACAAGTTGCACTGACAGGTTTCATCTCAATAGAAGAAAGAAATTCTTTACAGTGTGAACAATCATTCACTGGAACAACTTCCCCAGGGATGTAGTAGAGTCCCCATCACTGGAGGCTTTCAAGATGCAATTGGACACAGTGCACATGAAAGGTTGAACCAGATGATCTTTTGAGGTCTCTTCCAACCTGGGCTGTTCTATGATTCTATGATTGTTTCTATGATTAAATTGTTCTGGGACCTTGCATTCTAATGACAGTCAATCTTTCTTCCTCTTCTCTCTATCCTGTGCCTTTCTAGGTAGGGACTGCTTCAACATGCATCAGCATTGCTGCAGTTCCTACCCATGAAGTCGGTGTGCAACACATGGCTGGCCCAGGAGGACCATAGTCAGCCTATTGCTCTTCCTGGGTGGAAGTGGACCTCCACGCAAACTTTAGAATCAGTAGCCTAGCCTGAGTGGTACTGACAGTGGGTCTGGTGCATTGCCCAGTCATTTCACTTCATTTCCTAGCCATAACTTTCTTTGAAATGATAACAGTTCTCTTTCATAAGTGAAGCTGTAAGGAACAAAGTGAAGAAACGTAGAAATAAATTTCAGAACAAAACAAACCAGGGAGTGCAATCCAGACTACAACATCTACAAATTGATTGGGTTTCTTTCCCACTAGATCTGGAGATCAGTTTCAATTCTTTATCTTAATTCCCAATTTCCACAGATCAGTTTAGAATACTGATACTATGCCATGAACTGTGGCAATGCTAGAAAACTTTAAAGACTACTACTTCTATTAGAAGCAGTGTGGCCTGGCTCTGTTCAATACACTGTGCTTGTTACTTGTCCCAAGACTCAGTTAGAAACACACGCTTGTCTTGATTACTTGAAATATAGTTCACTAATTAGTTGAAGTCAGTTCTGATTTGGCAGTGAGAAATGGCTTTTTGGTATATATTCGGTTGATTCAAAGCACGGGAGGTAGCTTAGCTGTTCACTTCAGGTACAAAACCAGAGCTGTCTAGGCTTTACTGATTAAAGGAAACTATTATATGCTGAATCTTTCTATATGCAGTAAATTACTGCTGTACGGAAAGAAATCTTACATCATCCCTCATAGGTACACTATCCAGTACTGCAGGCTGAACAGACTCAGGAATATATTTTAATTGTTAATGGTAGGTTTAATACTTCTCACAAGCTGGAAACGTCAGGAAATAATTGATGTCTCAGTTCATGGGAGTGTTTATCATTTAGATGGCCCTCATGCAAACTATAAACAGTCTAAACACTAATGCTGGAATGACCAATTTAAATCGGTACTTAATGCTAGTCTATACTTAGCTCTTCCTTGTGTTTCCCATGAGTGCAATTTCACAGTGATAGCAGCAGAGAATGAGCACTGCTGATGGCAAGGCACTGGAAATCTTTTTTTAAATTGAAATCAGAATACAATATTATTTGTAGAAAGTCTTACATGACAGAAATAACTATAGCACTTGGACTCTTTGTAATTTAGCTGTATCCACCTCCATCTAGAAAGAGAGCTGGGACAGCATCAAGTCTCCAATACTGGTCCTTTGCTACCTTAATCTTATAGTTTCACCACTGTCTTTTAGCTGGAAATCTTTTTTTAAATTGAAATCAGAATACAATATTATTTGTAGAAAGTCTTACATGACAGAAATAACTATAGCACTTGGACTCTTTGTAATTTAGCTGTATCCACCTCCATCTAGAAAGAGAGCTGGGACAGCATCAAGTCTCCAATACTGGTCCTTTGCTACCTTAATCTTATAGTTTCACCACTGTCTTTTAGATGTTGGATGTGCTCTTTGGCACTGCACCTTGGTCTGATGAATCCCTAGCTGGAGAAGCTGCACATTGTAGATTCGCAGTAGTCATCTGAAATTTGGGCTTTGGCGGAAGGGCTGCAATCACAAATGTAAGGAGGTATATTCCTCTTGGTGCAGCAATCCATATGGCAACTAAGTTGGGAACCAAGCAGGGATACCTGACACTTCCTTCTGGCAGAGGGAAAGGGACCTGGGCAGAACGGCTTAGAGGGTATAAGGGCAAAGAATCATAGGAGCACTCTGGAAGGACTTCCTTGGCACTTTATTGCAGGTTGCCCCTGGCTACAACCATGGAGAGGATGACATGTTGCAGATGTTGTCCATGCTTGATTATGAATAAAAGTCACATTTTTTTATGACTAGTATTTTTTCCAGCTTCAAACATATACTGCTGCAGCAAGACTTGTCATCTTTGAGGTCTCTTCCAACTGTAATAATTCTGTGATCTATTTTCACAGAATTGCAGGATGGTTGAGGTTGGAAGGGACCTCTGGAAGTTTTGGAGGGGAGAAGGGCTAGGGCGGTGGGGGCTGATGGTTCTTTAAGCATGTCTTTCTTCAAAAAGGAAAGATAAAAGCTAGCATCTCTAATTTCTCCACTCTGTAACTTGTCTAGAATTACAGAAGTCAAACTATTTTCTTTTTTTAATGAAACAGTGGCTCTGCATATAGCAAAGCCAACCAACCAACTTCCTTACCAAAGCACTTACCATGAACTATTTTTTTTAAAAGTATGGACTGCTTGCTCACATTTTCCTTTAATGAAAGAGTCAGGCACAGCATCTCACAGCTTTGTGCACAGCATATGGGTATCAGGGTTGAACACCGATGTCTTTGAGAGTGACTGTGTCAAACTAGGGGATCCTGAGACCACTCCTTGTTGAATCTGTCTGCGCTCAGTGCTGTCTTGCGGCTTCTTGATCCTAAGCCTGAGACTCTGATTCAACCTGTTAAGCGAGAATTTAGTTTGGCAACCAGTATCTTCAGTTTTACCTGCCTTGCAGTTGTTTCAGCCCATCTTATAGTGTTCCTTCTGTCCTCTTCAACTTCTTTCTCCCATTTGTGAAGGTACTGCAGTTGCCACAGTATTTTTGTTTTCCTTTCTAGCTACGTGACTGGCTCACTACAGCTATACCATCACATGGCTTCCACCTCTGGAAAACTGTTACGCTCCAGAGTTTATTTATGGCAGATTTGATGATCCACAAAGATTTAGGAAATAATGCTTATTATAGTACTGCATATAGCAGCACCTCCATTATTCTCTCCTGTAAGTAGCAGTGATGGCTGGACTCAGAGACAGCTCACAGGTCCCAACAAGCCCCGTGTAAGAGCTGGGGACAGGTAGCATGCATGTAAGGTCTGGGCATTAGCAATCTATAGGCTGTGACTGCTATCATCAAGGAACTGGTCCAGTTTCATTGCTGCCATCTACTGAAACTAGAGCTTTCCACCTCATTGAGCAGACTAGTGGGAAGCATAGTTTTGCAGATGAGATCTGAAATGCCACAATATCACCAAAAAAAAAAAATCAAAAATGCCACGCGCTCTTAAATGAGGACTTCCAAAATGTATGTATGTATGTTTATTTTGTTACTTAAGGTTCAGCTTCCTGTGCAGCTTTAGTGGTCCTAACTAATACTCTTTCTGTGGCTATTAATTCTTTCCCTGCTGACTTTTTTTTTTTGGAATGTCTCTGATACAGGTCCACACATTATCTCCTGTTTTCTGAGTGATAACTCATGAGTGTGTTTAGCTTTTCTGTGTTGTCTTTAATACAAAACAGATGCTCTTTCTTTGATAATGAAAAGTTCTGTATGTACTTCAGAAAACCCTTATGATTTCAAATGATGGTGGGGGGGGAAGAGTGCCTTTTATTTTAAATATTCTTTAGTTGCTTGATGGCTTTGCTTAACAAGATCTTGCTTGCTAAACTTGGTTTGAAAAATGTTTATTGCAAAAAAAACCCCGCAAACTATTTTCTAACACTGGTTAAATGCTTTTGGAATTGCAGGGTTCACTACACACTTTTGGTCAGAAGGCAAAACATATTTATTCCTATAACTAATATAGCAAGTACTCATAGAATAAAACCCTCCCAGTCTACTTTGATATGCTATATATAGGACTGACTGTGCAGCAACAAAATACGAGAATTTGTACGGTGGTCTTAATGATCAACTCTTTTTATTTATTTTTTTTTCTCTAAGGTTTGTATGATTCTACACTTGTTTTAAAAAATGTCTTTTCCCCTTCCCCTCTTAAAGGTAGAGACCTGTGGGTTCTTGTTCTGGGAAGGTTTCCAACCCAGCATAAGATTGGCATTCCAGAGTTCAAGTATGTTGCTAATATGCATGGGGATGAGGTACGTTTCAACTTTTGCAATGTCATTTATACCAAATACACTTACCAGAGGTTGAGAGTGAACTTCTCTCAGGCATGTGCTACTTATTATTGAGGTATGTCATACCTCAAAGAGGACCTAATATGTGATATGTGTAATTCTTGAGGAATTTCAAGAATAAAGTTCCCTTGTTTTGGTAGAAGGGCTTTAGAAGACCTTAAATCACAGTGAAGAATCCTACAATCCTACACCTAAGACCTCTCTCAGGTGGAGAGCTTTGTCTTCTCCACATAAATAAACCCAGAGGCTTTAACTTTCCTGGCAATGAGTCACATGCAATAGTTTGCTTGACATTATTATTGCCTAGGCATGAGGTATGACTGATAGAACTCTTCAAATACACCCTAAGATTGAATAATAATTGCTGTGAAGCACCAAATTATTTATTTTAAGAAGAAAAATTCTCTTGGGAAACAAGCTAGAAATACCCAGATTCACCCGAGATAACACAGTGAATACAAAACAAAAAGCAATTTCAGGATTAACTTGCTCTGGAAAGACTGCCCACTTATTAACAATAAAGGAGAAAATGGTGATTATGAGCCTTCCTGCTGTAGTACATGAATCTGGAAGAGAAAGACTCGAAGCTTCATTCTACAATCTTTTCTTGCTTTCCATTTCCCTTATTCTCTAGCTTTACCTGCTTATGTTAGTCTTGTTTAGGATAAGTTTAAGCTACACAATATATTTACATGCAGTCTTTAATGTGAAAGGTAAATAATTCAACAGAGATGGCAAATTTTTTATATATGCTAGACACTGAATTCCCAAAACTAAAAGAAAAAAATAAAACAGATGTAGTAGGAAGTGTATCCTGTATAAAGTGTAACATATCACAAGCTATTGCTATTATCGATACTCTGTGTGAGTACTTATATGCCTACAGGCACTTGTGACATTATGGGCCAAGAATTTTCCCCGAGTTAGACTAGTTTCACCTTGTTTGACAGTGGCTATGCTTAAAGTGCTGCTGGGAGTCTGACTGCTTTGGAATTTAACTCTCTGTGGGAGGAAGCTGATTCATGGTTTCAAATGGGCAGGTGTCTTACTGGATGCCCAAGATAGGGCTTGCAAATCCCAAAACCTGGTGTGTGTCACAGGGTAGTCCAGGGTGCCTAGGAACTAAGGGTCCATATGACAGTCCCTGCAGAATGCTGAAGGGAATTGCAAACCTACAGTTACAACAGATGACCCAGCTTTGGTGGGAAAGAGATGGAGGGCAGGATATGATCTCATCCCGGATGGCCTGGCTTTCAGATCCAATGTTGCTGGACTGCAGATGGCCATTCCTCCTATGGAAACGTCCACAATGAAGCACTCTTGCCATTATCGCTGCCCAGTTGGATATACACAAGCAACTTTGACCATGGAGACACACACTGTTTGCATATCCACAGGGTTGGGAATTGCTGGAGATCAGGCAACACTGCCTAGGATCTAAATTTTTATATTGACTTTGTGAGGAAATGAGGCAAGACTTTTTTTTTTTTTTTTTTTTTTTTCCAAGTATCTGACACTGTGTCCAAGTTTCTCTGAGCAGGGTTGATCCTTGAGCTGCCTAGGTACCATACAGCACTAAGTGCCATGCTACATTCTAGCTTGTTCATTACAGCAAGCATGCACCTAGGGAAGATCCTGGAACTAGAGCTATTCCTCCTTTTCAGGCCCTCATGATGATCTTTGCCTTATAGGTTTTTTTGTGTGTATGGATATAATGCACAGTTGGTGTTTGTTTTTCCTATCTGACCATAAATGTATTTCAGATGGCAGGAAATGAATTCCTTATAGAGAAGCATTGGAGAACCTAATTATTTTTTTTTTCCATAATCTAACATTCTGAAGGACTAGTCACTGGGGAAAGATTAAACCACCCCTATAATATATTAGGCAGATAAGTTTTGCGCTGACTGTATGACAAGCTTCAACTTGTGTTCCACAGTCTTTTATAACTTAAAATCGCAGGATTATGGCTTCATTGATCTAGTTAGGTCTTTCGTGCTTCAGTGATGCTTTCTGTAAACGGTACAAAGTGAGAAAAGTTCTGTTCTCGAGTGTTGCTTGGTGATGCTGCCCTTCTAACCTGTCATGATCACACAAATGACACTTTTCTTTTTTTGGCTCATCTTGCCAGCTGCTCCTGAAACCTAAAAGTTGGGGGGGAGCCTGAATTGCATGTGTGCAGGCTGTTCACACATCCTGCTGGAAGAAAACCTAGTTTATTTGGAGAGCTGCCCAACAGGAAAGTTCTAATAACATAATGTGAGTACACAATACTAAGAGGAGAATATTTTTTTCAGAACTGGAAAGATTTAATTTTTTTAAAGTAGGTTAATTTTTCTTAATACTGTAAGATATGACCAGCCAAAGGTTTAAATGATTTTGTGATCACCATTGCCAAATACAGTGAACTTTTGCCCCAGATCCCCAGAGATGCAACAAAAGACTTTGTGTGCCTGTATGAAGTTGGACGCCATTTTTAGCAGTATTTCTTTTTTAACCCAAGCTAGATTAGAACTGATAATTAGAGGTAGTTCAGTCACTTGCAGCTATCTTTCTGAAACTTTAATCAAAATGGCAGTAATAAACGGCACAAAATGCATAAGCCTGTGAAATGTTAGACTTTAATCAAAATGGCAGTGATAAACTGCACAAAATGCATAAGCCTGTGAAATGTTAATAAAGTCTGCACTGAGCAAGATGAAGGGGAGGTTGCCTGCTGTTCTGGGGCAGCTCTTATTCTGAGTTAGGCAGTTGCCTCTCTTGTCCCAGGCTTGTACTCTTACTTGAAAGATATTCTCTTCCTCAGTGTGTAGGCTCACATGTTCCCCCCTGGGGAAGAACTCAACCCATTAACATGGACCACAACCAAACCCTCCTAATCCCTGGGGAAGAACTCATCCCACTTAACATGGACCACAACCAAACCCTCCTAAGTCATAAATGGAGCAGAACTATCACCTTTTGACCAGCTGTGCCGGTGACTTGAGTCCACTCTACACAACTGAACCACAGGATCTAATTAGAAGGCTGTTCCTAAACCACATATGTCACAGCAAGGAAACTTTTTAAGGAAAAGCATGTCTGAACAAGGTGTAAACTACCTGTGCGTTTCTGCTTGTTCCCTTTAATGAGTTAAGAGTGTAAACTATCTGTGTGTTTCTGCTTGTTCCCTTTAATGAGTTAAGTATCTGGCTTCCTTAACTTTCTGCAGCTATAGTGTAACTGGGCCATCACAAGATAAAATTTTTCTCAGGATAGTAGTGCTGATACCAACCTTTCTTCTCTTAAATCATCCGCTTCTGGTCACTTTTTTTTCCTTAGTGTAATAGTATTTTGCCTCTTTCATTATGTGAAGCTGAGCCTGTACTGGTAGGCCTGAGCTAACTTACATGAGAGGATGTGTTTATCTTGCTGGCTTATCTTGTGATTTAAGCTAAAGCAACTAGACCCTATTTCCCATGTCATCACAGACGTAGTCATACCCACACAAGGGTTTCCTGAGATATGGTGACTTATTAGATGTTGGGCGACTGAGGCCTGGAGCAGGCTTATTTGTGATCAATATAATTAGATCTTAAAAAACCAAACAACCACCAAAAAAACAAACTAATGAGTCTTGTGTAGAATTTCTCACTTTCATTTCCAAAAAATTAATGGAAGCTGCATTGACACTATCAAAATGCCACTATAAAAAATGCCTTTTTTGATATGGCTAAGTTGGGCAAAAAGAGTTGTGTCCACATACTTACACAATCTGCTATAAGGAATTTTCAGCACATATTCCTATGTCCTTTGTACTGTGCAATATAGTATGGAAGTTGTGCGGCAGGGTAACAAATATGTGCTCTAGAAAAGAGAATTAAAAAAAAAGATATATTTATTGTATAGTGAACTATTTTCCACCTTGCTTCAGTATCAGCTGATGTGATGTAAGGAAGGTCAGAAGCAACAGGGATTTCAAAATTCAAAGCAACCAAATCTATTTGCTAACAACAGACTTTAAAAAAAGCCAGGTGCTGGTGAGATCTCTTTCAACACAGGCAAGGCTGCTGCCTGGCCCCAGTTAACCTTTTTCCTTATCTTTACTCCCACTCTTCTGAGTGGGAAAAGCAGGCAAGCCGTTTCTCAGCCAGGTGAAGCCTGTGGAATTTGTCTGGGTGGTAACATCTTATACCAGTTACTGGTTCAAAAGCAGGCTTTCTTGCCATTTCCTTCAGCGATAAACCAAGGAACTGCAATTCCCTGTCACACGTGTGGTAGTTCTCGTCTTTCCGCAGTGATTGCTGCTATAGAAATACATGGATATGTGCCAAACTGTACTTGCACAAATAGTAGCTTTAACACTGGTGTATTTTACTAAAGAAGGACAGTGGGGTGTGTCGCAGCTGTGCGTAATAATTATTGCTGTACAAGTGTTAAGAAAGAACATCTTGTAAGTGTGGCATTTAAGTGGTAAACCAGGATAAACTATCGGTTTCTCTGCTGCAACCCCACTTCCTTAGGCGGGGTTGTCCCCGGTATGCTGCACTAGCTCTGTAGAGCAGTCAGGGCTGGAGCAAGGAGACTGGCAAGAGCATCTTGCTCTGAAACAGGTCCTACCTGATGGTTTGGATCTTTCTTTCAACATAGTTCAACTTAAAAACCAGGCCACATTTAAGGAAAGGATTTTAATCATAAAAATGGGCAGAGTCTATCCACCCAGAGATAGTCCCCTGATATTAGGTCTCTATCATGTGGTAACAAAAATGTTTTCAAAACAGGGGTGCTGGACAAAAGTGTTACAGTGCAGGTGCAATCGGAGCTAACCTTAATCTTTTAACTGGCTGCTGCTAGGGCTTCTCGAGTAAGCCGGTCCCCTGATATTAGGTCTTTATCATGTGGTAACAAAAATGTTTTAAAAACAGGGGTGCTTGGCTGCTGCTAGGGCTTCTCGAGTAAGCCCTTCAGCAGCTGAGCAGGGTGCTGACCCAGCCATGCCAGAAGCAGTAGTCAGAAAGTTTAAAGGGTATGTCTACAGAAACAGCAGTCACACCCTTTTGTACAGTGTTGATCCATGCCCCGGCACACACACGTTTCTTCGTTCAGGACTTCCCTTGTGGATCACTGAAAGCCTTTCCTGCTACCCTTTGGAGCACACGAGCAAATCAATAGCTGAAAGGGCACAGAGAAACAATACCTAACTGTATCCTGAGAGGTGGGAGAAAGGCTTTTCCTTTGCTTTTGTGTCACCCCTCATCTGAGCTACAGCAAAACAATGCACCTGGGCATTACCCTTGGGATACTGCAATTAAAACCAAATGTTCATTGTGTCTTCTGAAAGCCCCAGAGCACATAAAGGTGATCCTCTGCCCTCTATATGTTCATGTTAGGCTAGAGGCAGGTTAAGGTGTCTGTCCTTGACTTTACTGCCAGCAACCTACCTCCACTGTGTCTAGATCCTTTATTTGAAGCTCTGAAGTAAAAATAAATGTCTCATAACTTTTCTCCGCAGGTACAGCTGACCTTTCTAGTAACAGGGTAAAGCTTGGCTGGGCAGCAGATGCCTTCCAAGGGCTTGATCAAAACTTGAGTTATATTTCCCCAGAAACAAAAACTCTCCCTCCCCTCAAACACCTCCAGCTGTGCTTTCTCAAGAAATGCAGGGTGCTCTGGAACAAAATAAAATCACCCCTCTGTCACCTCACCAAAACAGAGTGGTAATAAATACACGCTTCCCCCACTGAGGAATGATCAAAGTACCAACTCTCTGTGAGAGAGATTAGCTGAATTGTTTAATGTACGAAGTACTCGGGTACAACAATAGCTATACAAGGAATCCTATAAAATAGGGCTAGTTTTTAAAATACTGTATGTGTAAGTCTGGGTTTAACTTCTAAGTGCAAAGAATGTCACCTATGAAACACTTGTCGTCTTCCATTCTTTATAAACATTGTCCTTTTCCACCACCTCCTCTTGTTGCTTTTCTTTTTTTCCCCTTCCTGTTCCTGCTTCTCTGCCCTTTCTTTTCTGGATGTCTTTTTGTCAGGCACTGAAGAGGAGTACGGGAGGAGCAGGGGAACTTTCTCAGTTTCTCCAGAGAGCAGTCCCGTCTTGTCTGTAGTATAGCTATCTCTGTGGTAGGGTAGGGCTGTTCTTGCTGCTTCTGAGTCTGCTAGCTTTATCTCTCATGCCCAGGGCCATGATTTCGCTGACTTCTTTCCCCTCCTTTTTTCCCCATGCTCCATGTGCTTCCCAAGATGTCTATCACTCAGAGCTGGAACTGAGCTGCCTGTACAAGCCAGGTTCTGTTGCATCCCTTCTTAAATTTCACAGAGTAAATCAATCAAACCTGCAAAGCAGTCTGCTTTCATGTACTCGCGTACTGTTTTGAAAGCTACTGGCCATGGAGGAAATTAGGTACCTTTTCCCCCCTTTTCAAAGCCCATTTGCTGTAGTGTCTAGAAAAAGAACCACTTAGTTATTGGCACAGTACATGCATTTACGTAACACAGCTTCCCTTCGCAGATTACTGGATGGTGGCTTGCAGGAGACCAGCAGGAGCCGACAGGCAAGGGTTAGAAAACTTAGGAACAAATTTGCTGGGGGGCAGAGTGGGAAAAGATCCTTCTTCTTCCCCTCTACAAACAGCATGGCAGAATTGCTTGAGTTCCAACTCGGAGACCATGGCTGCCTTCATATATGATACTTAAAATGGTGTGAGCCGCAACTTAGCGGAGTGATGTTTGGCACTACAGTGTGTGTTTGTGTGTTTGTTTCTCCTGCAATGAACAGCAAGTGCCAGCTAACTGGCAAGACACGGTTTGCTCCCAACCTGAACAGCAGTTACACCTGGCTCTCCTTGCCCCATGGTGTACCAACCCAGCTCCTGCAGGCAGAGTTCCTGCTGGACGCTGTCTGCGCTCCTCTTTACCTTAACACCCAGAGCAGGATTTACCACTTAAAATGCCCCAATGTGAAAATTCAACAAGATATTAGTGCAGCAAATAGCTGTGGAGAAAAATTCCCTTTCTCCTGCCTGATTTCACCTGCCTTTTACCTTAGCCTGTACCAGTCTGAAAGCAGAGAGATGTTTATCTGTGACACCAGGTTCATCCTGTAATGCCACTCTGTGTTCCTCACTTCAGAGAAAAAAAAAAAAAATTATTTGCAGTATTTTCATTTTAGTTGGGCAAGATTCATTCTAAAAGATACTGAGACTCTGTAGCTCTGAATTAGAGCCTGCAGTGATTTACCAGACTTTGTTCTTGGAGAGAGAGATAAATTATCTCCAGAGCACATCTAGTTGCAAGCCTTGATTTGTTCCCATCCCAGCCAGGGCTTGGAAAACCTACGGCGCCCTTGAGGCGTGGGTCGCAGTGCTATAGAAAGTGCTCCTGGAGAGTACGGTCCAGTGAATGTTGTACTAGTGGTTTCTGGGGTAGAATAGGATTGTTCTTAATTCCCTGGAGCTGGAACTTGCCACTATTTTGCCTGAAATCTGGTAGAGTAGACTTAAAGGGAGATGTCCTGCCAGCTTTCATGACCTATACAAACTTACATGAACAACAGTATGTATGTAGCTTTTTCTCTGCCACTGCCTTCCCTTGATCCAAAGTCTGCATCCCAATGTCTTTCCATCTCTTTTTCTAAGGATTTATGTATACCTGTTTGGTTTCCCTGATGCCTGTGTTCACGGCGTTAAAGTACAGCAATGCAACAGAGAATATGCCAGAAGTGTCTATGGGACCTCTCTTGATCCTCTATTAAAGTTGACTTCCCATAAAAAGGGATCAAGAAGAAAAAAATCCTGCTCTGTAGCACCCTGGAAAACATGGAAGGCACCTCCTTCCTTTCTTCTGAACCATCACTGCCAAGTGGCGATGCGCAGCACTGACGATTACGTGCAGGGCCCAGGGTCCCTCTGGCATCAGCACGGAGCTGGGACTCTGCAGTGCAGCCGAGATAACGCAGTGGTGCCTTTTTCCAAGCCCAGGCAGCCTATGCAGGTTTAGGTTTTGATACACCTATGCCTTGTCCATGCAGGATTTAAGCGGTGCAGCTGACGCAGTCAGTTTCCCATTACAGAAAAAGCTCTGGTTGATCTGGGTTTAAAACCCCTGTGAAAACCCTCCAGTGACTCATCTATTAAATTACTTTAAATATATTTAGGGGAGAGCATAAGCCAAAACAACGTTGACCAGAACGCTCTTGTATGCCTTGTATGTCTGTGTAATCCAGTAAGAAAAACCTGTAAGTGCAAGGTGGAGGTGGTGGGTCTTTTTTTTTTTAATTTTTTTTTTTTCATTGCATAGCAGACTTAAAATAAAATCTATGCTTTTTTATACAGACTGTTGGGAGAGAAATCCTCCTCCATTTGATAGACTTCCTGGTGACCAGCTATAGACGTGACCCAGTTATTACCCGGTTACTCAATAATACCCGGATTCATATCATGCCAACAATGAATCCTGATGGATTTGAAGCTACAAAAGTGCCTGATTGTTATTACACCCGAGGAAGGTAAGGGTGGCTTAGGAGGGTGGCAGTAGGTAAAGGAAATGGGTGGGGAGAAATAATGGGGGATAGCCAAGAGCCTGAATCATCCTTGGTGGAGAGGATAGCCTAGAAGATGTACGAGGGCTAATTTTGGCCTGTGCTGTTCTGAAGACGCACTGTTACGGCACAGAGTTTTTGGAAGACTGAGTCAGACTGGTGTTTATATGTGGTACGGCTAGAGAAAATTGGTCAGAAAGAATGGTGTAATGACCTAACCTTTTAGGCAGGAGACCCAGATTGCAAATAGAAGCACAATTACCTCTTCAGACCTCTAGGGTGCTACAAAAACCGGAGGAAAACTCCACCCACAGGGATCTATTTCAACTGGAGAACTCTGTGACCATTCTTAATGAGAACAAGCTGTGTCTAAGCTTGAATATGTGTAAAGATCGGGTTGAATGCAGATCTAGTAAGAGGGAGGAGTTACGCAAGCAGAGCTAGCTGTAATAGATGCTGTGCTAATAGTAGTGCTAGGAAAAACTTATGCAGAGGAAAATGTAACCAGCATTGAATGCTGGGCTACTTTTGCATTCTTTAATGTAACCATTGCAGAGACCAAAATGGGGAGGAAAGGTTTAACAAGCTAGAAGAGGGAGAAAGAGGAGAGAGTGAGAGAATGGGAAGAAATGCCGAAGGGACAAAGTCAGAATGTGCAGAAAAAGCAAACTCCTGAGCTAGAAAATATCTTGGATCACTGGCTACGGCAACACCAGAAGCAAGTGAAAAGGTAGTTTAGTTCTCTAGGTGACTGGTGTATGCCCTCCTTTTTATTAGGAAAGAAATCTATTCCTCAGCAAATAGATAGGACTTTTATGGAGGGTGGTATTTTTTTATCCCCTCACTGTCAAATAGACAGAGTTTAACTAACTGAGTTTAAAAACTAATACAGCTGACGCTAAATGCCCTCTCTACTCTTGTACTGACCTGTCTGAGTGAAAAAGGAAGAAAGCATTTGCACAGGGTGGACCTTCAGGTACAGGGAGAAGAGAATACATCCTGTGTTCGAGTCACATTTTTTGCCCTATGTCCAGAGTGACAGCAGTACAAGGGACACAGCCATCCAGTAGTTACCTCCGGCTGCTATACAAGTGGGAAAAAGACATACAGAAGGACAACATCCTCCTTATCTGACTCGGGTTTTTCTAACTCATCTATGTGTAGGTGCGTGTATGCTATCTGCATGTTGAGTATTATTCAGTGTTTCCACTTGAAATATGGTAGAAGAATTGTTTTATTGTGTCCTACGAAAATTCCAGTGCTGCCAGAAAGCAAACTTAAAGTCCATCATCTTAATACTCGAGAAGATTTGCAATAGTCATCTTGCCTGTTTCCTGAAGGTACCAGCATGCCACAGGTCTTAAGTACTGGGAGGCTGGCAATGTGGAAGTGTGTATGGACAGGAATGTCTTCTCTCTTTCTAAGGTACAATAAGAATGGGGAAGATCTGAACAGAAATTTTCCCGATGCCTTTGAAAATAACAGCGCCAGCATTCAGCCAGAGACCCAAGCAGTAATGAACTGGATAAAAAATGAAACGTTTGTTCTTTCGGCCAACTTGCATGGGGGTGCCCTGGTTGCCAGTTACACCTTTGATAATGGTAACTCAGGTAAGCCAGTAACAAACTCTGCTCCACAGCGGATTTGGTTTAGGGACATTAGCTGTACCAAAGCAAAATTCATAAGGATTTCTGCAAGGTTTTTCCAGCTTTTGAGCTGAGATGGGCAGACTTTGATAAACACCATCAAAATTCACTGCCTGGTAAGGCTATCTGGGAGAGGTTTATCCTGTACGTAAGCCAGCACTGTACGTTTTACCAGAAATGAGAGTTACATGATGGCTATCTTTATTCTGCAGTTACCGGCACTTTGAAAGGCTATAGCAGGTCTCCAGATGATGATGTCTTTATTCATCTGGCAAAAACCTATTCTTTCAACCACGCCAGCATGTACAAAGGGACCGGGTGTGACAACAGACAGACCTTTCCAGATGGCATTACCAACGGGTATTCTTGGTACCAGCTGGAAGGTAAGAATGTCACTGGTATTTTTTTCAGCAGCTTCAGCTATGATGATGTTCTGACTTTCTCCTGCCATCCTTGATGATGAAAGGGCCATGATTTTGCCCAGAGTAGAGGGTTGATGGGGGGAGTAAGGCAATGCAGTCACGCGGGTTCTCTGAGCCGGACCTGGGTGTTTGCAGACTCTCCCAATCAGCAGTTACACAAGTAAAGGCAGCAGCCTCTGCTGGCTGGCTGCTTCTGTGGCCTTTCTTAAGGCCTGCGTAGCTGTATAGATTACACACACACACTGGTGTGACACCAAGGTCTTGTCCTTTCAGAAAGAAAAAACAGTCTTCTGTTCATATATCATCCTTTTTTAAAATGTTTGAGGACTTAAATATATGTTTTCATTACTGTTTATGTGTAGCCGAACAGAATATGGGTCCTGTGTACTGTGGCACTGCACGTTGCTTTCACAGTTTGAATTCAAAGCCTTCAAAGGCTCCTGGGATGGCTTTAGCAGTGCCAAACTCCATGCCAGCCTGAGCATTTGTCTGCCCCTGCTCAGCTGGCAGTGCTTGAATGAATTTAAGTCAAGTCAAAGCCCCACCCTTCCTCAGCCGTAACAGTCATCATTCCCAAAACGCCACTGGGCTTTAGAAAACCACGCTCTATGTGTAACTGGAGTAATGAAATTGGTTTTCCACACGCAGCAGTAGATACAAGTGTGGCATTGAGGAATAATTTCTCTGATTTACTTTTCTTACAGGTGTGAGGCAAGTACCAATTTTAACTCTTCTATTTTTCTTCTGGCTTGAACTTGGTGCTTCTCTGCAGCTGAACGCTGTTTGTTTTATTTCACTTTTAAGGTGGAATGCAAGATTACAACTATGTCTGGGGACAATGTTTTGAAATTACATTGGAGCTGTCGTGCTGCAAATATCCTCCAGAAGACCAGCTGGAAAAGTTCTGGAAAGACAACAAAGCTGCTCTGATCGAATATATAAAACAAGTACATCTAGGTGGGTATGCAAAGGGGGAAGGGAGCTAAAGGTGAGGGCAGGCTGCGGGGCAAAGAGGGAACTCTTCAGCAGCCTGGGTCAGTGTCTGACTGCTGTTTAATCTTTGCTTAATGCCAGCGCTGCCTTGAAAGTGGTGTGTGAGAATTCAGGGAAACTACCTCATAGGCAGACAGTGTTGGTATTCTGCCATTGGGAAGTACTAGGTAAGAGGCTGACTGACTTAAAAAAAAAAAAGGGGGGGGGGAAATCCCCACCAAATCAGTACTGAAGATTGAAGCCCTTCAGTAAAAGTATATAAATACAGTAAGCATATAGGATGCTTTCAGCAAGTGAGCTTTAGAAGCAGAGATTACAATGCTGCTTGCTAACTTAATGTGAGGGTAAACTAGTACTAGTAAAAAAACCAAAGGATTTTCTATTTTAATTCTCTTTAGTCAGTGAAATAGTCTTTGAGTGCACCCAGCAACAAAATAGTCCGAGTTTCTCGGAGAAGGAGGCTCACCACAGTTACAGGTTGTGATCTTTCTCTCCTCTCCCTTTTTCATAGGTGTCAAGGGCCAAGTTACTGATAAGAACGGGAATCCTATTCCCAATGCCATCGTGGAAGCCAAAGGAAGGCCTCACATCTGCCCCTACAGAACAAATGAACAAGGGGAGTACTTTCTTCTCCTTCTGCCTGGGACGTACGTGATCAATGTAAGTGTGCGGCCTTCCTAAATTACTGTTTCTCGCTGCATTGAGTTTCCTGAGCGTCGT